TTTGTGAAGCTGTTAGTTGAGGCAAGACACATACTAAGCTGCTGTTTCTGTTACCCATTTGCTAGCTATAAACAGAGCTATATGCAGGAAAGCTATCAGCAGCAATAGGACTGAATTCACTTTTATACAAAAGACAGAGACAAATTTTATGGATCTATCAATGTCAAAAATGTATGTACTATGTTTACTAATATTAACCCTTAAAATGATTTTTATGCTTTTTATGCAGCCTATAAATCAAGGTCATTACACTGAGTATAAAAATATCCTGAATCATTATCTGAAGAGCTAAAAGCATTGTGAATTATTGAGACAGAAGCTACCCAAAGGATATGCCCTGGTCTTTGCTGTGTTACTAAACATGCCAACAAAATGTTAATAAATATGGTTCTATGATTTAACTTGAATAAGAGAACCTATTAATATTAATTTTATCCAAATAGACTCATTTAATTCTCTTTGTTGGTCAAGATATCCATTAGTAGAAAAGCATATGTGTTGTGTAAATAAAAGGTGGATTTATGAGGTTTTAGCAATGGATAATGAAAAGAAGAATTAAAAATTAGCTGAGTAAATACACAAATTTAGAAAGAGAGTAGGAGGGTGCACACTCTCTGTACAATGAAAATATATTAAAGGAAATCCACAATAAAACAGAAAGGCATTAGCTGATCTTGAGGAAATAATTTTAGTGAACACAAATATACAGGGATACTAAACGTGAGGATCCTGTGGATGGTGGGCATCTCTCCATCTCTCTCTCGGGTATGCATGCATGTATCCTACCCTGAATTCAAAAGAAAAAGTAAGGAAAAAAATGTAAATTTTTGTGACTCTAAAGCAATTAGGACTAGGATTGGACCATATAACCAGAAATTCTAAAACACTAGTGATTTGATTATAGAAATTTCATTTCTCCTTCATAAAAGAAAGTCTGGGGGTGCAGGCCAATACTAGTGGTAGAGCTCAGTTTCCTCTCTTCTTGCTTTCATCCTAAGAACATGCTGTATCCTCAGAGCATGGCTGTCAGTCTCTCTTCTTAAGAATGTTTTTATAGTAAGCAGCTCTGGAAAGTAGAGACAGTGTTTCTCTCCTGTGCGAAGGGACCACTATAAAGGCTTCAATTTCTGTATATACAGGTGTCGTCTGGTCCTTTTCTCAGAGTGCTGTGGAATTGGCGCTCAGAAAACTGCTGATCTACTTACTACTGCTATTGCTGTGAGCAATAAAGCCCTTTATCTCTCTGATCCAGGAATCACATGCCATGTGCTAGCTCCCAAGGCTTGTTTGCTAGCAAGTAGTGTAAAGTCTTAGAGACTTTATGATTCCTTATAGATTTTTGCTAACATTCTTTTGTCTAGAATTGAGGCAAATAAGAACTCTTAACCCCAAGGGAAGCTGTAAAATGTTATCTTTTATAACTTACATTGGAATATGGTTAATAGGAGGGGGAAAGAATAAGTTTCAGTACAGAACACAAGAATTCACTGCTATAACTTAAAACATTTGTTCACAATTTATTGTTTTGTGAACAAATAAAAATAAAACATACTAATACTAAAATGTACTAACACTAAAACAGATAACATGTTGAATCATTTATAACAAATGTTTATTGAAGCTATCTGCAAGTAATGAAGGTGCTGCCTACATTTGCTGGGACTGCTGTAGCAGAGTACCACCTCCTGGGTAGCTTAAGCGGAAGTTTGCTGTTTCACAGTTCTGGAGGCTGGAAGTCTGAGATCAAAGTATTGGCTGGGTTGGTTCCTTCTGATGGCTGTAAGGGAAGAATCTGTTCCTGGCATCTTTCCTTGGGTTGTGGGATGGTCATATTCTTTCTGTTTTTGGTCACAATGTGTTCTTCCAGAGCACATACCTCTGCATCCCAATTTCTCTTTTTATAAGGATATCAGTAATACTGGATTAGAGCCCACCACAATGACCTCATCTTACCTTTACTAATAACGTGTGCGACTAATCTGTGGCCAAATAAGGTCACAATGTGAAGGATTGAGGGTTAGGCTTCAACATATGGATTTTTAGGGGACATAATGCAAACCACAATGGAAAATATAAGTGGTTTTTAAATGTTTTTTTTTTCATGAATTTGAGATTATTTTGGTAAATAAAAATATTACAAAGTGTCCTATGAGTTTTTATGTTTATACAGTCTTGTTAGTAACTTCAAACTATGGCTTAATGTCGCCTCCATATTTGTTAGTCTTCAGTAAAGAATGTAGTCTTATAGCTTAATTGATAAAGGCTTGCCTCCAGATTAGTCACAATAGATTGTGACACCTCTCTTCCAGCACATTTTCATGATAAGTGTTTCGCTTTGTCTATTTACGTAAATCCCCAGGGCTTCATATGTTCACAAAATTATTACACACACATTCAGCTTTCGGCTTATGTCCTTCAATATGTGTGGGTTCAAGTCTGGGATTTTTTTAAGCATTCATTATATTTCTGACTTCAGTGTTGAATTGGTGAGAAATTCTATCCACTACACTTCATTCTCAATGATACAGAAACACAGAGTGGGAGTTTGTGAGTGATGACTTTTCCAGTAGAATGTGAAGGTAATTTAGCAGTTTGACACACAAGAACAGAGTGACTGCCTTAGGCATGAGGACACAGGGAACAAACCAAGATAAAAAGAAGACTTGGAAACAAAGGCTACATTCTGAACTCTTTCTTTCTAAGTACTCCACACCAAAGGAGAACTTGTTAATGAATAACCACTATTGAATAGCTGCCATGAAGGCAAACAGAGAGCTATTCTACTCTTAGTTACATTTTTATGCAAAGGTTACTCATTTTTTCCTAAAAAGTCAAATATTCCATACCACTCCCCCCAGTCCCCCTCTCCCCCACCCATGTAGGGTAGATAAGAAGGCATAGGTAACCATCATAGACCCAAAGAAGTAAGAAGTACAAATAATAAGAAATGTTGACCACAGACAAGAGTTCAATGCTCAGGCCGGCAGGTGGTGTGGTGGTAAGGATGCTGGACTTCCATATGGCCGACCACAGTTCGAGTCCCAGACATGACAACTTGCTCTCTCTCTCTCTCTCTCTCTCTCTCTCACTCTGTTCAAAACTAAAATAAATAAATAAATAAATAAATAAATAAAAATTATTTTTAAAAAATGTCTGATATCAACAAAAGAGAAAGGAATGGAGGAGAGGAAAGTCCACACTTAATGTTAAAAAAATGTGTGGCTCTTTTAAGCCTAAGAATAGTACTTGAGACCTAACATGTTAATCAAGGTCAGGGAAAAATTCATCACTACATGTTTAGAAGTACAATTTCCATGCAGCAATCAATACATGTTTTAAAGACTGGGTTAACTAAAGAGATTAGAGCTTTAAATAAATATTAGTATTCTTCAACATCGATGTTATGAAGGAACTCTACACATCTAAGATTTTCAATCCTATTTCAACAGTTTAATGCTTTGTTCATTAACTATTCCTGATTTCATCTTTCATTAAAAATAATTATGATTTATTTTTCTGTGGAGCATTTTTTATAATTCCAACTTATTTTCTTGTTATCTAGTCAGTTTCTAGGCTTCCTTTCTTCTTTCTCACATCTTCTCGTCACAAAACATCTTAGGAGAGGTCAGAAAATCACAGAATCCCACATCACACATCATGTTACTTAAAATAATACTTTAAATAAATGAATTTTCTTAACAGGAGTGCTTTATTGCATTTTCCAATAATGAATTTTTCAGTATCAGTTTCATAATGGTTACTTTCAAATTAAAAAACAAATCAAAAAATCTAATAGAACCTCCAGCTTCATAGGTTTGCATATGAAACTATAGTTACTTACATTTAAAATATTGGGAAAATTGAATACTTTTTATATAAAGGCATTACATCTTATTGGCACAGAAGCATAGTTCACAAAGTTTGAATATGTCCTTTAAACTATCAATGACAATTTGAAGATAAGATTTAACCTTAATAACTCAAGCCTGGCTAGCCAGTGGTATGGTAGTAAAAGGTGGATAAATCCCACATGGCTGACTGTACAGCTCATCCCAGACCATGGTGGCTTGAAAAATAAACCAGGTGTGGGTACATGTGTGTCCAAAGATCCAAAAGGAGAAATGGAGGAGGGCTTGCTACGTAGCCATTCCCCATGCTTTTGATCTTTCTCACTCTCTCTCCTCCAGTGAATGCACTTGCTCTCTAGCAAATTAAAAAAAAATAGCAATAATAATAACTCAAGCCAAAAGAAATGAATCATTTTTCAAGCCTTGCAAAAGTTCATCTGAGAAAATAAAACATTTATTTTAGGGGGGGGAAAGGAGAGGTTTTTGCTATATGGCGGCTTGTGCTCGCTAGAAAGAGAGAGAGAGAGACAGAGACAGAAAGTGAAAAATCACCCCCCCCGGGGGGGGATAGGGCCACGCCACAATCCCTTCTCCTCCATTCTCCTCTCGGGATCTGGGGCACGCATGCACATGTGCCTGGTGTAAGTTTAAGCCAGTGGATCCAGGACTCGAACTAGAGTCAACTACATGGGAGTCCAGCAACATAGCCACTACACCATCTGCTGGTCCCCAAAATAAAATATTTTTAATCGGACCTCATACAAATAATTTTAGTCTAAACGAGATTCGATATTTTGGAAAAATGAACTAAAAAAAAGAAGAAACAATTTAAAAATGTATTTTAAAAATGGAATTGTTTTGATCTGATAGAAACTGTTGGATAGTGTATCATTACTATGCTTCTTACCCTAAATTCTTCCCAACTTTTGATTGCAACAAAGGCATATCTAGTATATCTAACAGGTAAGGCACATCTTTTTTTTTTTTCTTTCTTTTTTTTTTTTTTATGATTTTAGCCATAGGGTGTGTGCACTCTCAAGAGAGAGACAGAGACAGTGAGAGGGAAAGTGAGAAGTCACCTCCCAGGGAGGGTGGCTATGTCACAATTCCTTCTCCTAAATTGTCCTAGGATTTGGCGCATGCATGCATACATGTCTGTGTGAGTTTCAAGCAACCAGGTCCAGGACTTCGATCATGGTTGACCATGTAGGTATGAAGCACTTCAACCAATATGACATCTGCTGGCTCCAGGCAGGTGATTTTTAAGATCTTTTACATTTCTATAATAAAAGCATAATCAATAATAGTCTTGAGACAGTAAAACAATCAATAAATTGATTAATCAATAATTAATAAACTTACCTTTAAAGATATTATTGAAATACAATAGTATTATCTGTATTATTTGAAAAATGTACTTTACCACCACCTCCTGAAACATTATCAATGTTAAGGCTAATACAGTTAGAAAATTTTAAATTCAAGTAAAACCTCTAAGCAGTCATATATTATAGAATGGCAGAATTAAAGTTACATTACTTTCCCCTTGTTACAGTCACTGTACTTTTATCATTTATTTAATCTACGGTTTAAATAGGAGATTACATAATACTATGGAAAATGGAGACAGTTTGTACCCAGAACGAACTTGAATGATTCTGAAACACTAGAGTCTTCGTTTAGAAACAAATGCATATCATTGTCTGCATGTATATGTTAGAGGGTGTAAATACATAACAGGAAGAAAAAACATTCCAAAAAACATTCCAAAAAAGTGATACTTTCTTGTTAAACATTACATTCATATGATGTGAGCAATTGATATTTAAAGGGATCTTTTGTATTGCTAGGGTGATTTTTAAATGTTTTTTTCAGATCTGTTTAACATTAAAAACACAGGCATAAAATATTTTTCTTTTCAACACTGAAAAAAATGACCTACTGAATTTGTATTAGTTTAGTTGCAAAAATAGATCAGAAGATGCTAATCCATGAGAAATGTGTTTCCTCCTCCTGTTTTCCCCTTCCTTTAAAACCAAGAGATGCGTATAATTTAACCATGCTTGCTTTGGGTAACAACCAGCATGGGGCTGAAATGCATTGAGCCTGCTTTCTAAAGAAGTACAATACTTCACATTTTTAATGCATCACTAAACAGAGGTCAAGTAGAGTAGTTTCAGTGTAAGACAGCACATCAAACTACCCACTCTAAAGTAACTCAATATACCCTGTGTATGTTTCTCCCACATTAACAAGTGGGTCATTAATCTCTTAGCCAACTGAAGCCCAGCTGTAAACTTGTACAACACTTTCCAACATGTCTCTGCTCAGTTTTCACGATTGTTCTTACATACGATCATTTGGCAAATCAAAAAAGACCTTCAATATTTATCTGTGGTTGCCAGATTAACATAAAATGATTACTATTTCCCACTGAGAATTTTGGAAAGCCATATAAATGCTATAAAACATAATAAGTGCTCAACAAAGAATTATAATCATCCATCTGCTTTTTCCTTAACTTTCTTTGTAGCTGTGTAACTAAAACTAGCAGCTGAAGCCACCACCTTAAGGAGAAATAATTAATGACACATAGTAAAGTTTGCATAATGCCTAAAGAACAAATTTAAAAACCACACAGGAACAAATAACTGAATTAGAAATTCTGCAACTGAGAAAGCAGTAACTCCCTCAAATTAATATATTTCTCTTGCTGTTTAATATTTGTTTGTGGAGCTGTAGTATATATATTTTAAGTACTATAGAGCAACAGTGACATTGAATTTCAACTATAAGCGAGAAAAATGGAAGACTCTGTGGCTAATTTTAGACAACTCTTTCATTACATGGTTCATATTTCCATATAGCAAAGGAAAATTTTAAGTTTAGAAGAAATCTGTTTTAACCTCTTTAAAAAAAAAATCTCAGTATTCACCATGGGTACATATCTCTTTTCTTAAAATGTATCTATTATACACTTAATAAACATTTGAACATTATGCATGTTTGGGGTTATGAAATTTGTGAGATAAGGTTCCTGATTTTGAAGAGCTTATAGTCTAATGGAGAAAATATATACTGTAGGAGAAAATGTTTTGTTTCTGTTCTTACAAAATACAATTTGGAAGTGTATATCCAGACACCTGAAAAGTGAGATGTAGCTCAAATTGTTTTAGTCTGTGTTCAAAGGCTTCATGAAAGAGACTGACCTGTGTCATTGCAAATAATGAAAGTGATGCTATCTCCAGGAAAAAATGGTCCACATTCAGAGCAGGTAACTGGTGACTCATCTTCCATGGCTGTCTAGGCTGGGACCTGGGGTCAAAGGTGAATGAGCAGAGCACAAAGCCTGAGATTGCTTTCTCAAGATAAAGTTATAGATTCATTCTTTAAAGAGGATTGAATTGAAAATGTACTGCTTTGTATATTTGGAATATGTGTGTATATATATAGATATACATGATACACATTATATATATATACATATATACACACACACACATTCTCAAATGCACATCTATACGCATGTAAATATACATTCATTTATATGCATGTATGTGTGTGTGTATATATATATATATATATCCTGAAATATATATTTTATATAATAACATGTATTTATATATATATACACTATTTCTTTATAATGTATATTTCCTGAAAACATAAATTTGTGTTCTCAAAATTATTAGTACAATTTTACCATCATATTTATTTAAGTTGACAGATAAAATAGTATGTATTAACTATATAAAACATGATGTTTTGTATATATTCATCATGGAATGACTAAATCTAGATAGTTAATATGTATTACATCACACAGTTATCACTTTTGTGATGAGAATATTACATTCGCTCTCTCAGAATTTATTAAGAACACAATACATTATTGATGATAGTCACCATGTTCAAAATCATCTCTAGAACTCTTTCTTCCTATCTAACTGAAATTGGTATCCTTTTTTCACTACCATATTCCCAGCTCCCTCCCTGCTCTCAAACACTCCCACTCCTGGTAGCCACCATTCTACTCTCTACTTCTGTGGGATCAATTTTCAGATTCCACATATAAATAGGATCATGGGATATTTGTCTTGTCTGTGCTTTGCTTATTATACTTAATATGTCCTCCAGATATTTCTTATGTAGTTGAGAATGACAAGATTTCCTTCTTTTTATGTATATACCACTTTTCTTTATCCATTTGTCCAGTAATGGGTAAATAAACCTAGGTTTATTCCATATTTTGCATATTGTTAAAATTCTGTAATAAACATGGAAGTACAGATATCGCTTAGTAGCAAATATGCTCCTAAAAAGGAGACAAACACATTTCAATTTTGCCTACTGCAGTGGTGCTAGGAAATTGTTCTTAGAAGTAGGAGAATCTTTGCTCAAGAGAGTAAGTTTACATGCTTTCAATGTTAGACAAGAAAGATGGAAGAAAAATCTTGTGTACGTATTCTTTCCCCCTCTTTTTTTTTTTTAAAACAAATGAGAAACACTTTTTCACAAGTGGTCTCCAGCAGATTTCCTTTCATGACTAATTGACCAGAATTTGGAAGAAAAAAATCATCTCTCTTTCCTTGAAACCATTACATCTTAAAAACACAACAGTTCCATACTATTAAGTAAAACTATTGGCAACCTTATTGCTTAAGCTACTCTGGCATGGCTTTTCTTTACTTTTTTTGAGAGTTTTTTGCTATAGAGCACATGCGCTCGCCAGAAAGACACAGAGAGACAGAGAGCGAGAAATCAACCCCCACAGGGAATGACCACGCCCCAATCCCTTCTCCTTCATTCTCTTCTCCGGATCTTGGGCACATAGGCACATGCACCCAGCGTGAGTTTAAGCCACCGGGTCCAGGAATCAAACTGCAGTCAAATACATAGGAGTCCAGCGACATAGCTATTATGTCATCTGCTGGTCCCTCTGGCATAGCTTTTCTTAAAGCATCCTAATTTCCCAGAATGTAGCTAAAATCAAAGTATGCTGTTGCTCACTCAAGCAAAAATACTAAATTGACATTGGCTACTGTATTTAGTCATATTATCCGAAAAAGTAGGATTTGGTATAAGGACACATTGTTAGGAATGGAAGTGAAGGTTCAGGGTCTTCTTTTTAAGAAAAAATATATACATAAATAATAATTTTATTTGTCTTCTATGTGAGAGAAAGTTTGAATATGCAATCTGGTTCATTTGCCATTGTAAGATGATCACATTAAAGTATTTATTCTATTCCATTTATTAACAAGACCACTTAGTCAACCTACTACAGGGCAAACCATGGCCTGTGGCTCAACTACTGCCCACCACCTTTCCAGGTACCAATTCTTCATTGTTGCTTTCTCACTGTAGTTGTAGTTGAATAATTGTATTAGAGTTGAGTAGTAGCTACAGAGACCATTTGACCTACAGAATTTAAAATACATATTGTCTGGCCCTCTAGAGAGAAAGTATGTTGCCCATGAAACAGAGTATCCTGCAGTCGTTTTCTTACATCTTTCCTTACTCTTATTTTTAAATGTATTACCTCTCTAGAGGTATTACAGGTGGTACTCAAGTTAATCTTCATGATTCAGATATCGATGTTACCCATCACTCTTGAAGTCACAAAAATGGGGGCCTGTGGGGTCCCATATTTGTAGCACTGCTACCAGATCCCAGATATTTTTGGCTGTTACTAGCAAAGATATTTGTGGTCTGCTCTTATCCTCGACATGAGAGAGCTGAGCTATGTTCACATGTGCCTTAAATATGCATGGTCATGGTGAGATTCATGAATAATCAGGAAGTGTCCAAATCTCCTACTTTTGTGTTACACTTTACTATATAATTATTTTTAAATTACTGCTTTTGTTGTCCAGAACCTTTAAAATAATAATGAAACGGTATTTTCAGGAATGATTTTTATTAGTTTTCTTTTGTTCGTTTACATCCTAGGACTTGCTTATGGGTGCATAGATTAAGGTAAAAACAAACAAACAAGCAAGCATACAAAAAATAAAAAGATTTGAGTTCAAAATCACTATATTAGAGGCAGAATTATTTTTCCTTTCCCAGAAAACTGAAACTCTTTCCTTTTCTCTTATCTCACTCTCTCCTTTTCTCTCTGGTTTGCATCTTTTGCATCTCTCTCTCCCCCCTATATAATCAGTAGCCCCCCACCAAAAAAAGTTGCTAATTCTCTAAGTAAATAAATAGATGATAGGTCCTCTTCCCCAATCCTCTAAAGACTTGTCTGGACATGTCCATATTTCAGATAGGCATAAACTAAGTTCAAATTGTGAATCCTTTTACCATTAATCCATTACTACATTTAATCCTTAAAAAAACTCTGGAGGAAGATAGTTTCTCTCCACCATATTGATGAGAAAATTGATTCTTAAAAGAGGTTATATGAATTGTTCAATTTAAAAAGCATGAACCAGGTAAAAATTAGACTCCTAATTTGTGTTCTTCCCACGGGCCATGGTGCCAACACAGTAAATAATGGCACATTTATTTCTAAATTTAAATAGTTTATTTGTATATCTAAAAATTAAAACCAGTATGGAAAAAAAAAAATTTAAGTGTAGCTTGAGTAGCTTCCAAAAAATTTTCTTTTAATTAGAAAAGAACAGCTTTGGGTTTGGGAAAGAGAAGTTTCATAATTTACTTTTATGTGATTTAGCATATTAATTAATTGGGTTATTTATGTGAAAGAGCTTGAGTTTCTTTTTTTTTTTTTTTTTTTTTTAAGCACCATCTGGCTACAGTTGTTTCCTTCTCCCTGAAGATTTTTTAAATCAATGATCCAGTCCCAAGAGCTTGGTTCCACAAAAACATAGCATTCCCAAAACTAGTGTCTTGGCTTATTATAGCGGCCACTAAATTTCAACCATTTATCACACCGGCAGTAGGTGAAAGAAAGAACAAGCACAGTGACTGTATGATATGTGATGTGGCTTCTACATAAGGTCTCCTCCAACACTGGGAAGATGGCAGAAGAGCTGACATAGACCACCAGAGTACGTATACTCAGCTTGTTTCTCTCCAGAGGTAATTAGATTTGGAGGGCCAAAGTTTTATTGTTTTCTCAAAGATCTTACATCTTGGACCAGCCCTGTAGACTAGGGGTTAAGGAGTCTGATCCCATATGGCCAGCCATACAGTTCAAATCCTAACCTTGTTGGCTCAAAAAAATAACAAACAAAATGAAACAAAACAAAACAAAGCAGGAGATATGCCTGAGCACCCAAAATTCTATCAGGATGTTGAAATGGAGAAGGGATTACAGTATGGCCATGCTTCATTAAGAGGGTGCTTTCTTCTTCTCTCTCTCGGGCAAATGTACACACTCTCTGTCAATTAAAAAAAAAATCACTAGTCTTTGGATTGAAGCCTTTTTAAAAAGCTATGGTTAAATAGCCTGTCAAATTAACAGTATCTTTAAATAGTATTCATGGAATATTATTTTGAACAGCTGTAATAGATACATAAAATAACAATAATGTCCACAATTATTTAGAATTTCGCTCTAAAAACTTTCCTAGATTCATAAATTAATAAAATTTGTTTCTATTACTACTACATGAAACCAAAGGGTAATTTATCAACTGTCATGTGATTTTTGTTTTGTTTTAAATAGACTGAACTCAGGTTTTTAAACATATTACATATTTTCATGAAGTGCATGGAAAACAATAACAGCACTTCTAAAAAATCTGCAAATCTCTGAGCTTGGTTTGCAATCTATCAGTCAATCTTTCTTAATCAGAGCTGTATTACTTGTGCTTCTGCCCTGGTGCATTTTTTGGTGGGTGTTCCTAATTCCTTTTTCCTTTCTCTTTTTAAGAAGAGAAACAGAATGGTTTAATTTGTAGAGTCAAGAGTCTTTTGTTCTTGATTACAACACTCAACATGCAAATTACATTCACCTCTTGATACCAAATGGCATCCTGCCAGTTTCCTGGGACACTTAATCCAGATAGAATTTTAAGCAATTCTTATCTGTGTGTCTACTAGCAACATTTCTTTCTCTTTTACAATTATCTGTAAATTCTCTCTTAACCAGGAAAACAGGGAAATAAGGCCATTAGTTCAATAAAGTCATTGATAGTCAACATCATTGCCTTTTCAGTAAATTCATATATTCTCAACTTCAGCTCACACATAATCTCATATGACTTAAACCTGTCCCTAATGACCCTTGAGGCCTTTGTGAACAGCAGTGTTTCAGCGTCACTGACCAACATCTGACATAGTTAGAGAAGTTAAAGGTTTGCTAAATCTGGCTTGGCCATGGATAGTCCCTCTGAAAAAGAAGTTTATTTAAATATTTGTTCTCTATGTCTTTCTGTAGTGAGATTCAGGCTTGTTCACAACTAGGTTTTTATTTCCTCTTTCATAAAAAACAGTGATAAAAGATACTAACTAAAATTTAGGGTGGAGCTAGTGGCATGGTGGTTAACATGACTCGATCCCAAGTGGCAATTGTGTAATTCAGGTCCTAAGACTAGCTTGAGAAACACACTGGATGTGTATGTGTACATGCCCAAAATCCCAAAAAAAGGAAAAAATGGGGAGAAGGGATAGTGGTGTGGCCATCCCCAACCAGTGGTGCTTTCTCACTTTTCTCCTTTCTTTGCCCTCTGGCAAATTAAATAAATAAATAAATAAATAAATAAATAAATAAAACCTAAACTCAGGGTATTTGGATCCTAAAAAAAGGAGTTTACTTTGGTTAGAGAATGTTGCTATGGTCAGAGGTCAAGCTTACTGGACATAATCATAGTTATAATTGAAAATGCTTTTTCTTTTTTTTTTTTTTTTAAGAATTAGTTTTATTTTTTAACTTTATTTATTTTTTTATTTTAATTTGACCAGAGAAGGACAGAGGGAGAGAGAGAGAGAGAGAGAGAGAGGGAGGCAGCCAAAGTGAGAAAGGAAACCACCAGGTTCAGGACTCAAACTGTGGTCAGCCATGTGGGAGTCCAGCACTCTTAACCACCATGCCACTGGTGACAGCTCCTGACAATGCTTTTTCAAAGATTAAATTTTTAAGTTTTATATATTGTTACTAGTTTGAATTCTTCCCCTTTTTGACTCTTATTATTAGAGTCCCTAAAAAGAATATTAAAAATAATTTAAAATAGATGCTTCCCTACAAGTTACCCAGCATACACTTCTCATTTCCTCTAGTTTGAAACATAAAGGGGAGAGTGGCTCAAAAAGGAAAATCCTTTCTTCACGCTCACCATTATTCTGAGAGGAACCAGCTCAAATAAAATGTACAAGGCAAAGTTATTACTCCAGCTTCCTGACACAACTAGTTCCTGCTCCATCTTCCCAAAATAGAGGTCTGTAATTCCTGTTTTGAACTTGTCAAAGTGGAAGTCTTGAGCCATGAGCACCTCTTCAACATCAGTTAGCAAAAATCATATCCATTCCTCAGTGGTTAACAGAGTTAACTATTAGGGAGTTCAGTTGATAAATAACACACCAGGAGCATATTCCAAGTTCACATATGAGAAGGTAATAACAACCAGGTCCTGACTGCTTCCTGGCCAAGAGTGACTGTGAAACACTATTGGTTGTGTGATGTAACTGTTTCACATGTGTTAAAAAGTTAAAAGTGGAGCATCTTCAAATTGATGAAGCACAGTGCACATGAGAAAGTAGACTGTATTTTTCAGTGACACTGGGAATTACAAGGTTCCAGAATTACAGATACAGAGCAGCCATTGGAATATTTGGTAAGAGGAACTGGTGGGTTTGTACTTCAGCTCAGGTAAACCTGGCAAAAGATGAGTAAGAACACATATAAAAAAAATGACCACTTCACACTAATATAGTCTAATACAAAAAGTGAGCATTAAATAAGTATCTTTTGTTGTTGTTATTTATTTATCTTTTCCACAAGAGAGAAAGAAGAGACAATGCCCCTCCCTCCCAGGGGTTTCATGGTGCAATTCACCCCTCTGCAATCAGCTAGCTCTTAAAGGTTTTGGTCATAGGGCACATGTGTTTGCCTGAGAGAGACACAAATACACAGACGACAGAGAGGGAAAGTGAGAAGTCACTTCCCTCCTCCCAGGGGAATGGCTGTGTCGCAGTTCCTTCTCTATTTTCCTTTTGGAATTTTGGGCATGTACACACATGCAACCAGCATGATTTTCAAGCTGTTGGGTCAGGGACCTGAACAATGGCTGGTCACATGAGAGTCCAGCACCTTAACTACTACATGACCTGTTGGCCCCGAAATATATTTATTTTTAAATATTCATTATATTCTAAGCAATGGTGAAAACTAAATGATAATTTGGGATTGTCTGAAACCTAAGGAAAGAAAATCTTAGAATTTTAAGGAAGCAGGGACCAGCAGATGATGTAGTGGTTACGTTGTTGGACTCCCACACGGCAGACCATGGTTTCAGTCCTGGACCTGGTGACTTCAAAATCATGCTGGGTATGTGTGCATGCATGCCCAGGATCCCAAGCAGAGAATGGAGGAGAAGGGATTGGAGCATAGTCACCCTCCCTAGGAGGAAATTTCTCACTTTCCACTTGCCTTGTCACTGTCTCTGTCTTCTGTCTTTCTCTCTCTCCGGTAAAAACCTCTAAAAAAAAAAAAGAGTTATAATGAAACAATTTTAGTGCATGTCCAGGCTATGAAAACTTCACTATTCCTAATAAAAACAGAAAAAAAGTTACCTTATTGAGTAACTATCAGACTACCAGTCACTTTTTATAAATTTTTAAATTTCAAAACAATTCCATGAAATAATTATTTTTCTGATTTATAATTAAAAAAGAAAGAAGAAGGGGGTGAGGCAGTGGCACAGAGGAACATAACTGGATTCACATGGAAAAGTACTAGGTTCTCAATTGGAGACCTCCCTAAACATGCTGGGCACATATGTGCGCATGAGCCAGGATGGCTGAGACTGGGGGTGGGTTACAGGATTAAGACCCTGTTGGGAGTCCCTGTCTCTCTCTCTCTCTTCTCTCTCTTTTTCTATCTCTCTCTCTTTCTCTCATACAAGAAGTAAATAAGCTTAAAAAAAAGAAAAGGAAGAAAAAGAAAGAAAAGAAAAGGAAAGAGAAAAGAAAAAGTAAGCATCAAATTAGCATCAGTTCAAATTCAGATCTGTCTGCTTATGAAAAGTGTTATTTATCATAATTTGAGAATTGTATCATTTTTACTTTAAGGTCATTAATTTACCTTTAGTTATAGGAAATCTTTTTATGTCTTTTCCTGCTTTTTGTCACACTAATTTACTTTGAAGTTGTACCATTATCTAAAAGCTGTAAGAATACTAATGAACATTAAAACAAAAATACCAAGTATTGATTCATGGCTTTATATATTATAAATCTCATGTCATAATCCTATATATTGATATGATAAAACCCAGGATCTATCAAAATACTGCTTTGAGATAGAGAAATAAACTATAAGATACATATAAGCTGTGAATAATCTAAATATGGCTTTTTATTATTGTTTTTAATTCTGTTTGAGTCATCTAAAATGTACAAACGAGGAATCACTAATAATGATGATGAAAAATTAAAGAGTTGAATTTGGAAAACATAAGAATCTAATAGTAGAGGGCTGAGTTCTAGATTGTTTTTTCAGATAAATATCCCTGAAGAATTCATATGTCTTCTGTTGCTTTCCTTTGCTCATTGGTCAATTGTAGTATGATGACTGGTGACTATGTTTGAGGAAGTCCCCCTACAATGCTTGCTTTGAATCTGTTTTCAGCACGTTAATTATCTGACTTAATGATATTTTTGAAGACATTAGATGGAAAGTAGGTCCACTAGCCTGTAGGCTATCCAGAGTTCATAGTTCTTGATTCATGTTCAGCAATCAATAAATAATTTTAAATATACCAACTAATAAATAAGAAAGCCCTTGAGAGTTACTTTAGAAGTATACCTATCCATTATTACTTTATTGTTATTTATTAAATGATGATCCTATTTTAATTTCCAAAGGACAACTAAGTGAATAAATGGCCTGCACTTAGAAAGCAAGGTTACTTTGTATCAGCCACTGAACTCAGTCTCTTAACTAATTAGCAAAGGAGATATGATTCCTTACTATTGTGAAGTTTTAAATATAATGCAGGAGGCGAGCTCCATGGCTGGTGGTTAAGGCATCTGGATCCCAAATGACCAACCTTAAGGTTCAAGTCTTAGGGCTCAGGAACTTTAGAAACATACTGGGTGTGTGTGTGTGAGCCCAAAATCTCAAGAGGAGGGAGATGGAGAAGAGATTATGACATGATCATTTCCCATAGGGGCACTCTCTCCTTTCATTCTGTCTCTGGCAAGCACATGTGTCCTCTAGTAAAGCAGTAAAATACCATGCTCTATGAGGTACTGTCACATGGGTAGATGGGCAGTTCCAGTCCAGAGACCTCACCAAATTCTCTGGGGAAACAAGTGCCCATGGTCCAGGCTGGCTGAAGATTGAGGGTGAAGTGCAATGTGAAGACTCTGTTGTAGATACTGTCCTCTCTTTCTGTCTCACTCATGGAATTTAAAAACAAAAAAACAAAAAACAAAAACAAAAAAAAACCTTAAAGGAAAAAGAAGGAGGAAGAAAACAATTGTGTCAGTAATAACTAAAAAGAGTAATACATGGAAGGAAGAAGTGGCAAAGACATAAGTCCCATTGAAAGGCCTTAAAGGAGATTGGGAAGTAAATGAATGTAGACATCTTCTATAGATGCATTTTTTTTTGAGAGGTTTTTGCTATAGGGCGCGTGTGCTCGCCAGACAGACAGAGAGAGACAGAGAGACAGAAAGCGAGAAATCACCCCCCAGGGGGGATGGCCATGCCGCAATTCCTTCTCCCCCATTCTCCTCTCGGGATCTTGGGCACGCACGCACACGTGCCTGGCTTGAGTTTAAGCCACCGGGTCCAGGACTCGAACCGTGGTCGACTACGTGGGAGTCCAGAGACATAGCCATCATGCTAACTGCTGGTCCCTAGATTCATTTTTTAAGAGTTGTATTATTATTTTGCTGTAGGACGCATATGCTTGCTGCAGAGACAGACAGAAAGCAATAAATAATCCCCAGGGGGAATGGCCACACAGCAATCTTCTCTTCTCCATTCTCCTCTTGGGATTTTGGGCATGCATACACATATGCCTGCCTGGCAAGAATTTCAAGCCTCTAGGTCTGGGACTCCAACTGCGGTCAGTCATGTAGGAGGATAGCACCTTAACCACTACACCACCTGCTAGCCCTCTATACACAAAATTTTAAAGAGTTTTTCTGTGAAAACTATCAATGTTTTCATAAGGCAGATATGCAGTCAATAGAGTACTTTGATAAAATAGTCTATATTAGAGCTTGTTTCTGTGCACATTTGAATAATTGTAAGTCACATGATACTGAGAGAAAAAAACAAACTGAGGATTAGTCATACAGAAGGCAAGAGTAGAGTAGGTCTTGAGAACATGTAGACAGATTGTTCTTTGATAGAAGGTGACAGGTATGGGGCATTTCATTATTGCCAAAATTGGGAAAATTATCATATGTTGTTGACACAGATGGATCTATAGGTTGGCTACTTGGTAAAAATGAAGGAATTCAAGTTTAATGTCTTTGATTTTTCAGTGAAGAATAAATATAAATTTACAGTTCAAGTAAAGCTAGAAGAAGAAACAAGGGAAGTTGATAACTGAAGAAGAGTTCATGGAGTACAGAAACATGAGACTACCGGAGAAATATAACTGGTTTTCTGAATAGAATTAAATATGTATATACATATATACACACACATACACACACACACACACATATATAAATATTATTAATACTTATATATATATATTAATACTTATATATATTTAATATATATATACTTAATTCTATTCATTATAGTATATTATATATTACTTATAAATAAAAACTTTGGAACTTTCAGTATCTATTAATTCACTTTGAAAACAGCTTATTCTGTTGTATAATTTCAGCAATGTTTATCTAGCTACTGAGACAGATAGATGAAGAAAATAAATAATGTGTTTTAGGGATATATAAATATTATTAATACTTATATATATATTAATACTTATATATATTTAATATATATATACTTAATTCTATTCATTATAGTATATTATATATTACTTATAAATAAAAACTTTGGAACTTTCAGTATCTATTAATTCACTTTGAAAACAGCTTATTCTGTTGTATAATTTCAGCAATGTTTATCTAGCTACTGAGACAGATAGATGAAGAAAATAAATAATGTGTTTTAGGGTTACCATTACAAATTGCTACAAACTTGGTTGGAGT